CATTTTTGTTTCTTTCTTACAAAAAAGTGGCAGATTTGTAAATAGTCATGTGGGTGTGGTACACTTGTAAATGTGTCATTAAAAAGTGGCATTTTTGTAATTCTCCCAACTTTCTATCATATGGATTATAATTAGGGGTTTTTAATTTTGTTCAACTTATTAAAAAAATAATCGTTATATCTATGTTTTGAGAAATTAGTGAAAGTTAGCATATATAAATCAGTGAAAATTAAGAAACAAAAAGATTGTGAATTGACTAATCCTTAGTAAAATTGTTTCAACGAAGATATTTAATTATCTTTCTATATTCTTTAGTATGAATTGATAAATATACATTTAGTTTCATTTAAAAATTATTTTCTATGCTATTTATCTAACTAAAATGGGTTTAATGGTTTTTTAATGTGTTTAAAATGGATCAATGAGCCCAAACTAATGGGCCTGGGTTAGTAGGCCCAAATTATATTTTTTCTTCTTCCAATTATCGGTATAAAACGATATACACAGATTTTAAAAAAAATCCTTAATATTTTTGTTTTTCCCGGCTTTTGTCTTCGTTCCTCTCTTGTTCGAATCGCTACTCAAATGGTGATTAGGTCGATTTCGAACAACGGTTTGATTTACAGACAGATCCTATGTCTTAGATTTACTTCTACGATTGCTGTCTCTAACCACGAACCCATTACCAAGACAACAACACAAAATTTTCTTGAGACGACGACGAGCAAAGCTATCTTCGAATGCAATTCTCAGATTTCAAAGCTATCGAAAAATGGGAATATACAAGAAGCTGAAGCTATTTTCAGACAGATGTCACAAAGAAATATAGTCTCTTGGAACGCGATGATTTCGGGTTTTGCGGAAAATGGTAATATGAGTAAAGCATGGCAAGTGTTCGATGAAATGCCTAAGAGAGAAACAAGTTCTTATAACGCTATGGTTACGGCTGTGATTAAGAATAAGTGTGATTTAGGTAAAGTTTATGAATTGTTTTGCGGTATACCGGAGAAAAATGCGGTTTCTTACGCGACGATGATTACTGGTTTTGTTAAGGCAGGGATGTTTGATAAAGCGGAGTGTTTGTATGTTGAAACACCTGTTAAGTTTCGTGATCCTGTTGCTTCGAATGTTTTGTTGAGTGGCTATTTAAGAGCAGGGAAGTTGAAGGACGCGGTTCGTGTTTTTGAAGGTATGGTAGTGAAAGAAGTTGTATCATGTAGCTCAATGGTTGATGGGTATTGTAAAATAGGGAAGCTTGTTGATGCTAGAAGTGTTTTTGATCAAATGACTGAGAAAAATGTGATTACTTGGACTGCTATGATTGATGGGTATTTTAAAGCAGGGTTTTTCGAAGATGGGTTTGGTCTATTTTTGAGAATGAGAAGGGAGGGAGATGTTAGTGTTAATGCTAATACATTGGCTGTCATGGTTAAAGCTTGTCGGGATTTCGTTAGATACCGAGAGGGAAGTCAGATTCATGGGTTAGTTTCACGGATGCCTCTCGAGTTTGATTTGTTTCTAGGGAATTCGTTGATTTCGATGTACTCTAAGCTTGGTTCTATGTGCGAGGCGAAAGCAGTGTTTGGCGTCATGAAAGATAAAGACACTGTTTCTTGGAATTCATTGATTACGGGTCTTGTTCAGCGCGAACTAATTTCTGAAGCTTATGAGATTTTCGAGAAGATGCCGAATAAAGATAAGGTATCTTGGACGGATATGATCAAGGGATTTTCTGGAAGAGGAGAAATCTCGAAATGTGTAGAGTTATTTAGAATGATGCCTGAGAAGGACGACATAACATGGACTGCTATGATATCTGCTTTCGTGAGCAATGGATGTTATGAGGAGGCGCTATGGTGGTTTCATAAGATGCTCCAGGAAGAAGTTTCTCCGAACTCCTACACTTTCAGTAGTGTGCTCAGCGCAACAGCTAGTTTGGCGGCATTGATCGAAGGACTACAGATTCATGCTAGAGTTGTGAAGATGAACATAGCGAATGAGTTATCAGTTCAGAATTCATTGGTATCGATGTATTCTAAATGCGGGAACACGAAAGATGCTTACGAGATCTTCTCATGCATCAATGAGCCCAATATTGTTTCTTATAACACGATGATCAGCGGGTTTTCTTATAACGGTTTCGGGAAGGAAGCTCTTAAATTGTTTTCCAAATTGGAAAGCACAGGAAAAGAGCCAAATGATGTTACCTTTCTTGCTGTATTATCAGCTTGTGCTCATGTTGGATACGTAGACTTAGGGTGGAAGTACTTCAGATCGATGAAATTTTCGCATGGCATTGAACCAGGACCTGATCATTATGCATCCATGGTTGATCTCCTTGGAAGAAGTGGATTGCTTGATGAAGCATATCACTTGATCTCTTCAATGCCATTTGACCCTCATTCAGGGGTTTGGGGAAGCCTCCTAGGTGCAAGCAAGACTTATTTACGTGTTGATCTAGCTGAGATTTCTGCTAAGAAACTAATTGAACTCGAGCCTGATAGCGCAACGCCTTACGTGGTGTTGTCTCAGCTCTATTCAATCGTTGGAATAAACAGAGATGGTGATCGGATAAGAAATATCAAGAAATCGAAAAGAATTAAGAAAGATCCCGGGTCTAGCTGGATCATTTTAAAAGGTGAAGTACATAATTTCCTCGCCGGAGATGAATCTCATTTGAATCTGGAAGAGATAGATTTCACACTGAATATGATTGGAAAAGAAATGGAATTGATTACTATCAGCCATGGAAACAGTTCTTAGCGAAGCACCGAGCAAAATTATCATCTTCCACTCAGTTTTCTCTACATCAACTGAGAGCAAAGAAGCTCACTTAATCATCTTGTAAAAAATGTGAGCTCCTCCTTACGAATGCTGTATACTTCACAAAGAATTGATGGTTTTTGTGTATATAGTGTTCTTCACAGTTAAGTAGTGGTTACAGAGGAATTTATCAATCCCCTGGACAAAGCTCTGTTTCTTGAGGTAAAAGTTTCCTTCTTTCTTGGAGTTGGTTTTTATAGATAAACATAACATTAATTACCAAATTATAATTTTTGTTTTTGGATAAACATAACGAAGCTTCTTTCTTAGACTCCAAATCCTAGTCCAAGATAGAGATTAAATAATGTCATTATCTATAAATACGGTTGCATTATAAACCAAACGTGAACTTTTCTGAAAAGTTTGATTATACGATTCTGATTTCTCATTGC